CCTGGCTTTCCTGTGCACTGCCAGGAGAATTGCAAAAGCAGTCCTGGGACAGCTCAAACTCGGAGGGCTGTTTTAGGGAGGATGGGAGTTATGGTTCTGTTTGCAAAAGCCCAATGAAACATATACATGCTATTCATTCCCTCTTTGTTCAAGAGCGTCTATTAGTTTTGTTACAAATGTAATTTGGCAAAGAAAAGACTTTGCTTATTGTTCCTTGCTTTTTCTGTTAATTGTTCTGTCAGTTTATATTTACATACTCTAGTTTAAATTTGTAATTACAATATAATTGCACACATGTGTGATTGAGCACCTTTGTAAGGATATCCTGCTATACAACTGTGCAGCTAAGAATTTTTGACTAACGAATATGAGCTATTCTTTAAATAATTAGAAAAGTGTGTATGTCATTAGACTCTCTACATCCTCTCAGGGATATATTAGTCGCAGAATGCAAACACCTAATGGTAGTGAGCTGCAGACTTTTTCCTTTGTAAAAGAGCAAATATACAACTTTGATTTCTCCTGTGCATTAAACTGCCGCAAGTGCTGTGGGTAAGTCTGGTCAGAGTTCAAGTTTCTGCCAGTTCTGGAAGAATAATTAGCAAGTCTGGTAAGAGCTCTGAAGGCAGTGGTGTTGCTATCAAGGGGTTCAGGCTAGGTATGACCCTCCTTCTCAAAAGGGTGAAATACATAATAATTTGTTAACTTAGACTGAAACTTGTCCATATGGTCCATGTTATCTTGTTTGATGTTGCAACAAGACCTGGTTTTGAGATTATGGCATTTCAAAGTCTATTTAATAATATTTGCTTATTTATTTTTGGTGAAATTTAATATACAGGAATGTAGATGGTAGGAATAGAGAATTGCTGTTAATCATCACTGTAACTTGGAGGAAGGATAGAAATATTCTATGTCTATAAAAATCAGATATGCTGTATAAGAGTCTTTAACTTTGGAAATACTAATTAGGGATTTTTCCTGCTTAAAATGGATAAGAAACTGAGTGTTAATTGCTTGTCTACAGCAATAAGATGTCTCAAACTCAGAATTTAGAACCTAAAAGTTCTGTCTGCTAGTGACCATTGCTGTTCAGTAAATAAAATCTGCTGCCACAATGAAAGTACAATTTGAATATTGGCCTGCAGAAAACGTGATTAAAATTATTTGGGTTTGTGTTTATAGTAGAATAGGATACCTCAATAGAAATCAAAGTAAAAAACAGTTTGCTGGATGAATGTAAGGCTGGCTTCTCCTCTTATTTGCTCACAGGTATTACTTAACTGTGCCATTGCCATTGCTATTGTATTGATTGTTTTACTCATTCCATATGCTCTTTGAGGATTGTCCTAAAGCTGCAGTTAAAGAGGGGCAAAAGAGGATATTCAGATAAGGGAAAATAAACAATAAGCCTTTAGACCACACAGGATTAATTGTTTATTCCCCAGGAAGAGCAGAGTACAAGTGGAACTACTGTATACATATTTTATAGCCGGTGTCTTGTGTTGTGATACATCAATACGAGGAAATATAAAACCTCAACTTTTACATGATTTTCTGTGATTTTTTTAAACTAGTTACTGTATTAGAGAGGGAGAAGAAAATACTTCAATTGCAAAGCATGAGTCTTCTTCCTCCTTTGTCCAGGCCATCAGATGGAACATAGGTCGGTTGTACAACCATCCTGCCCAGCTCATTCTACAGATGCTTTGAGTATAATTTAACATTTCACTAGCCAGCTAACCAGAAAAAATGTCATTGACAGTCTGAACTGTTATTCCCCAGGTTTAACCAACTCATTTTACCAAGGTTTCTTTTGCCCCCTGGTTTGAGGTCTTCTATTTGGCACAGACGTCATGCGATACCCGAGCTGGGAGCTGGAGACTTGAGGGCTGTTTTCCTAGACTAAATGTTTGAGGTTACAGGACGTAGCCTAGTTTCACATAAGCTTTCAAATTTCAGTGGGACATGCTGAATCCTGAAACTGTCAAATAGTGTATTATTTTTGGAGTGAGAGAGAGTATGTGTGTGTGTGTGTGAATGACCTTTACATTTTTACCCTATCCCAAAAGTCTGACTTCCTGCCCTTTCTCCCACGAGTCCATAAACTTTAGCATTAAAGTGAACATGTTTTAAGGGAGAAATTCCATACAGGAGAGAACAACTGGGATGGAGAATGGTTTATTTATGGGAAAACAAGGAAAACGGCTAAATGCTACAATTTTTTGGAGGGATATAGAAAAATCTGGAGAAGTTGGGATTCTCTCATTTTGCCGGGTTCCCCTCTCCCTCTTAGTAACACCAAGACCTTCGTGTAGGGGTGGGGAGTGATGGGGATAGTGGCCATGTCTTGTTTTGTTCCCTGCAAAAGAAGCTGATTATTTTTCTACTCTTCAAAGGAATAGGAGTGATGTGAACTACTGAATGCCACACCTTAACTTGCAAATTTGTAATTAATTTTAAAACTTTGGAAGCTAACAGAATGGACCTTTCTAAATGCTGAAAAAAAGTGCTTATGTCTGTCTTTATCGTATTTCTTCTTTAATATTGGTGATTGAAGTTATTCATTTCACAGGTACAATGTGCACTCTAATATTTCTTCAAGTGATATGTGGCAAAATCAGATCCACAGGCTTTAAAACCCTGGAGACAGAGGTATGAGCTCAGTGGTAATAACAAGCTCAGTGGTGTAGGCACGGAGGTTTTTTTCTTACCTCTACAGAAGGAAGGACTAGAGCTCAGTGGTAATAACAAAGGTGTAGGCATGGAGGTTTTTTTTCTTACCTCTACAGAAGGAAGGACTTCACTGTTTGCTTCCCTATCTAGAAAGTTACAAATCTTTTCTGTGTCTAAAGGGATAAAATTAAACCTCCATTTCTACTCCTCCTTCTTGCAGGTTACTCAGGAGTAAAAGAAGGGCCAATATCGTTATGTGAGGAGTGGAATGAAAGCCATTTTCCTGCAGAGTTTTATCTTCCTTCCTTAGCTATCCTTAACAGAAAGAATTATCATTTTTTCATCCCTTAAGTTCTATCCAGTATCCCTCTAAATTCTGGCTGAGGAAAATGCATCTCTTTGTTAAGCTGGCAGACCAAAATGGATCTCAGGTAAGCTCTGCCGTGCCTCTTACACTGTGAGTATTGAAATGGGACCTCCTTGCCCTCACTGCCAGCTTTCTCAAGACTTGTAGAAAGTTTTAGATCTTTCTACATTGTCAATGCTTGTTGAAAAACAGCTGTTATTTTAGACATTTCTAGAGGATTTATGGATACCTTTTCTGGTTGAGAATCAGACCTTTTCCCTCTTCCTTCTGAACTCATCTAATAATGCTAAAAGAAAAGTATTAAAGGGTAGGTTATATGATACAGGGATATCTGTGTGGATTCTAACTTTTTAGAGCCTTATGGGAATTGATGTAAACTTTCCCTTCCCTTTGCAAGTGCATATTGATGTAACAGATTCAGCACAAGGAAGTGTATATGAGCCTAATGATTTAACAGGAAACTATTCAAAGCCTGGGAACTTGGTCTGAAAAGTGACATTATGCTTAATTTGGCTCCCATGACAGAGATTCCATCAGGCTGAACTATTCTGCTAGAGAAGTTGATTAGCTAGGCTAGCTCAGTATTCCTTGTGAGTTCATGTCTTTCCTTCAGGGAGACAGTTGTCTCTCAAATAGCACTGAGTGCTAGGAAGAAATGCAGTTTTTTCCCCTTTTTCATTTGAGTCATTGATTCTGTCATCTTGACTTCCATGTGTTTTGGAAGGAGGAGTAATTTGCATCCAGCTTTAAACCAAACTCTTATATTGAAAGTGTTGATATATAAAGCCAATTTCTTTGTAGGAAAAAGCCTGCAATTTGGAGTCAAAGCTTAAAAACCAAATCCATGATGTTGGCAGTAGCCTTAGGCAAGTCATTTCACACTCCTGGCTCATTCATTAGTTATTAAAATGTGAATGTTATTACTGTGAGCAGTATGTATTACTGCATGGAGTGAGCAGAAAAGTAAAAAAAAAGCCCTGCTCTCAAAGAAAAAAAAAAAAAAAAAAAAAGAATATAGAACAAGTCTAGTCTACTTTGACACCTGTGGGAAGTCCGTGGCACAGTCGTGGTTTCTTGGCTTGTAAAGAGCTGTAATCATTTGAAGAGGTACTTTGGGCTCTTTAGTCACTGTTGAAATGCCGAGCACACGTGTTAAGCTTTATCCTGTAGAGCATTTATCTCCCTGGTAATCTGTAAAGCGAACCGACTTAAATCGGTGAAGGAATCACGCCCTTAGCCTCGGAAATGCCCTCAGCCTTCTCCAATGTTCATCTTGTTGTCTCTTTTGGTGGTGGTAGCGGTGGTTACCAGGAGATCTGTTCTTCACTGTTAATAAATTTGGATACTTAATTCATTAAGGATATGATTTTTAAAGAAGCATTTTACCTAACTTAAATATCCCTTTACAGGAAAATTAATTATGCAAGCCTCGAATTTATTAAGTGTAAGGAGAATAACTGATCCAAACGTGACCTGCTTCTTCACGTGGGTTTGCAATGTCCATGTGACTTCGAAATCAAACGTGGTCACCACAGTTCCAGCAGCACCGGGGTTTGCTTGGGGACAGAATGGAGGGGGTGATGTGACAGCGTGTTTAAGCAGCCCTGAAGTGTTTAATTAGCGTGGGCGAGCTGTGAGCGAAGGTGCGGATGCTCAGGGTAAATCCCATGCCGCCTTCCCAGGGCCACCGGCTGCCGGCCCTCCCTCAGGCCGGGCTGATGGGCACTGAGGTAACCTGCTGAAATTGCCTCTCCGTGCAGGGGTGCCTGCTAGGGGCGGAGAGGTGAGCTGGCTGTGTGCCGGGCCGCTGCTTCTCATCCCCGGCCGCGGAGCGGACGAACCGCGCCGGCTCCGCGCAGCCCTGCCCGGCGCTGGCCCTGCGCACCGGCCCCCGGCGGGCGGAACGGCGGCGGCGGGGCCCGCGTTGCCGCAGGGGCGCTGTAGGGACGGACCGGGCGGGTGCAGCGCCGCCATGGCCGCCCGCGTCCTGAACGTGAATGTGGGAGTGCTGGGCCACATCGACAGCGGGAAGACGGCGCTGGCGCGGGCGCTCAGCACCACCGGCTCTACCGCCGCCTTCGACCGGGCGCCGCAGAGCCGCGCGCGGGGCATCACGCTGGACCTGGGCTTCTCCTGCCTGCGCACCGCGCTGCCGCCGCAGCTCGGCCCGGGGCCCGGCGAGCTGCAGCTCACGCTGGTGGACTGCCCGGGGCACGCCTCCCTCATCCGCACCATCATCGGCGGTAAGGGGGGCGCAGGGGGGCCGCCCCGGCCCGCCCCGGTGGCTGTCGTGCCTGCCGGGGCGCTCCGGGCCCCGCTGGGGCTGCGCCCGCCCGTGTCCGTGGTGGGAGCGGGGCCGCTGGGAGCCGGCGTCTCCGGCTGTGCCCAAACCCAGGGGACGGGGCGAGACAGGTTTTTCACGGACCTATGACTTTGCTACGCTTGCTCGTAGTTGCTCTTCAAATAAAAAAACCTGTGCTCATAGGGAAGCACTTCGTACATGTGAGTTCTTGGAGTGCTTTTTGAGTGGTCAGGTGTGCTCAGTTTCTTACGCTTACTAGAAAAGAAGTTGTATTTGTTGTGTATGGAGGCTTATTAACGGAATCGAACAGCCCTAGAAATTGCTGTTTTCTTGCCTGTTAAAGCTGTCAGAGTTTGATGTTGTGTGTAGTTGAGAGCTGTGATGTACTTGCTGGACGTGCCCGTGTTGTCTTGGAGGACTGCAGAGTTGTAACGTGATAATTTTAGGCTTAGAAATAGTTTTGTGGATTTTGGTAACTCTTCATTTTAGTCTTCGTAGACTATGTCAGAAGGTTAATTTGATTTGCATTAGGACTCATTTTAAATTAGCTCACCTTGCTCCGTCTCCTCTGGAGTGTCGCCAGGTGGTGATGATGGAGTCACAGCTGCAGGAGCTGTAAACAGCCCCGGGCCGTTGCAACAGGGGATCCCCTGCAAGTTCAGTTCCTCTGCCAGGCTCTCTTTAATAACAGCTTGGTGGTTGTTTTGTAGGACAATGTTTCTTGGCTAGACTGAGGTTCAGGCTGGGTTATTTGTCACTATGTGGGAATTTAACCCCCTTTTGAGCAATTGTGCTGTTTGTAAATTGCGTTAGTGGTAACGGTGTTGTGTTGTTTGCACTTCTTGTGGGAGGATAATAAATATTTACTTATTTGTCAGTTTCAGCAGCAGTAAAACGCTCTGTTTCAGCAGTGTGTGCCCCACAGCTGCAGGGGAGGAGTGGCCGTGTGCTTAATTCCAGAAACCTGCGGTCTTGTACTCTTGTCTTGTACTTGGCAATCCCTTATTATTCTTTAGTAATTGTAAGCACCTGATTATCTTCTAAAGAGCAGAGTTGACTTTGGCAGATGTTTCTTGGATGTACTGAAGAGTCACTTGTAGTCAGACATTCCTTTCTGCCAGCAGCAGCTAATCTGAATGGCATGAACTTTCTCATGAAGGGGACGTGGGAAAACTTAGAGATCAGCTTTAACCAGCTTTGTTTTTCAGTAACTTTAATACTTATTTGGAGTGGTTGTTTGATACACGGACTTCTCATTGTTTTCTGCTATTTTTATGAAGATCTTCAAAGTATTTAGTCACAGCTGAATAAGTTATTCAGATTTGCTTATTGGTAGGCTGTGCAGGGAGAAGGAAGGCATGGATGGGATGAGATGATGATAGTTTCCTTCCCAGCAAAAATAATTTTTACAGATGGTAATTCAGACACATAAGCACATCAAACTTGCTTAGTTCCAGTTATACCACGTTATGTATTTTACTTCAGTAAAATAGTTGATTAGTGTGATTTACTGCAATTCTGTGTGTTAAGAAACGATTGTAGGGAAAATTCAGTATTGTGTTAATAGTTTGAAGAATTAGGAACTTCAGTTTTCTGCTTGATAATAGATGTATCTCGATAGTGAATGCTTTTTTAGCCTTTTTTTACTACCAGGTTTGAAAGGTGAAACCTTGACGATAAAACCTGCTCTGTGCCTGTGGGACTATTTAGGTGCTTACAGGTTTGGTGTGGTTTGGTGAAACTCAAACTGAAGTGTAGCATGTCCTGTGTAACAGGATACATTCTGTGGTGTTCATGTGTGTTTCATCACTTCAGGAATGGAAAGTGAGTCCTCCCAGATAATGGTATTGAAAAATTTAGGTTATTTTCATCTACTTCCTCATTACTAAGCATTAAGGGTTCACCATTCCAAACATTTTCTCTGCAACCAGGAATGCCACTACCCTTTTCTTTTTGATGGAATCTGTGATTTCCCTGTTACTACCCATTTTCTCTATATATGGTTTTTCAGTAAGACATAAGTGCAAAGTACTTTATCTGGTGTTTATTCTGCGTCTCAGATTTCCCATACCTCTTTAAAATATCACTGTTCTGAATTGAAATTCTGGGGTAGCTACAGGTGGAAGTTGACCTGCAGAAAAACTGGAATGCCTGTGGGCAAGGGTGCTGGATGTGAGGATTTGGAAGGTGGAGTGGCAGCAGAGATGAGAGGGCTGCTTCAGAACTCTGGCAGTCATGTGCATGCAGGGTTTGCAGGAGAAGCTACTGCTGTGAAAATGTTATTGCATCTTCTTGTTTGCAGTTCTCTTTTTTTACTGAAGGTGGGATAAAGTAGTTGTCTTCCCCTTGAGTGCTCCCAGCTCACGGAAACACGGTCTGCTGTGGCAGGGTAGCACCAGCATTGTTCACTCAGGTCTCCCATGAGGTGAGGAGCACAAGAGTTCCCTTCTGAGGAGTCACCTTCTGCCTCTTCTCTTCCAAAGTGCCATTTTCACCAGTGGTGTCCCAGGTTATCTGTCTCTTGTAACTGTCATCTGTGCTCCCAGAGTGCTCTAAGAGTTAATTCCTTTGCTGTACAAAGCTGATAAATCAGCTCACAGGTTAAATGTTACTGTTTACCACTCTTTAACATATTTCTGTATGTAGCTAATTCCTGAGGTGGATTTTTTTCGTGTCAGAATCTAGTATTGCATTTTTGTCATGCTGTGCCAGGTAGTGCTTGACCTTGTGAGTACTTCTCACAGTCACTCACAAGATGCTTGTTCAGACACAATACCTTAGGATTAAATGAATGCAGAATATTTGAGCAGTAACCAATTGGAATGAAAAATAGAAGTCGTATTTCATTCTGTGTGGCTACATTTTTCTTGCAAAGCTTGTCCTTGAAAACAAAACATATCAAATGTTAAATCAAAAGTGTTTTGTTTTGGGTGGGTTTTTTGGTGTTTTTGGTTTTTTTTAACCTGCATGCTGGGAATGAGAAATGTTGCAGACAGTTTCACCCAAGATGTTTTCTTTAAGTTTTAGATGGAAGGTGATAGTCAAGGTTGGAATGGAATAAGTAATAGTCACTTGGTGTACTTCATCATGCCTTTCACTTGTATTCAAACCATACTGGTTTATATTCTTCTGATGCTCGTGTGTGTGTGGCAGGAAGGCATTAAGATATTGTGGGTAGCTGTATGGCTTGGACTGTGCTGTGTATTTTTGTCTTATTCTTTCAAACAATAAGAACAGGCCTCTTTATTTTAAAATACAATTTCAGACTTTTCCTGTGCTTCAGCAGGATCTTGTCTCAAGCAAGGCAACAAAACCAGTATTTTCAGCCATTTGTGTCTGACTTGTGCCAAGCAGTGAGAAACACCCAGATCAGCCTTCCACTTTGGTTTGTGCACTGAAGGAATGACTGCAAGATGCAGGACTAATATTTTTGTCACTACTGCATTCTTCTGTTGCTGTAGAGATTTATGGTGGTATTTCTGGAAAAATTTCACACTGAGGTGGGGTAGTTTCTGTCACAGCACTATGGGGTTTTTTTAAGCTTCTGTTCTTGTGTAAATGTTCGGCTCCTCATCTTCCACAAAGCTGATGTTAATGTCATTGAAATAAAATAAGAGTTGCTTTTACATTTGTTTGTCACAGACCTGTGCACCAGTAGGGTCTGGAATAGTTTCTCAAATGAGTTCAGCAGGAAGGGATGCCTGCAGAGAGGTTAGACAAGTTAATCTGCCAGACGAAATTCAATCCCCATATTTCATTTTAAGACCACTTTGCGTAGCAAAGTAGTTTAAGCAGTAGCAGATTTTTTCCTTGCTGATGGTTAATTTCATGCCCTACAAAGGGTCAGCACACTAATATAGGAGAACATGATTACCTCATCCCAACTTCCCCCACACAGGCAGCCAAGGGTTAGTGAGTGTTTGCTTTAGGTGAGCTGTTGTTGGATGCCCTTTATCTGTTTGATTTTGAGATGGGTCCTCAAAACAACTTCTAAATCAGAAAATTGTCTTTTTTTCCCCTATGAAGTTCAAAAGACAAAGTATCCTTATAGGGTTTTAATTGGAAAGCTACCGCTTGACCCTGGTTGTTTAAACCTGGGCTGGGGGGGAACTCTGACAAACTTGTAGTTTTGTAATCCTTGTGCCTGTCTGAACCTTTGACCTTTTTACTTTATAACTAGAACTTCATTGTCACCATTTGTCCCTGCAGTTCCTTTCAAAGCAGACTGCCTTGCAAGTGTCTGTTTCCACTTTGCTGCTGTGTTCAGCTAAGGAAGGGTATTAATTCATACCTGATACATTGGAGGGGCCAGGACTTTTGAACTTGCACTAGAGCTTGGAGAGGGGGAAATGAGCATAGCAAAAGCATGTCTTGCTGATGCAAATGAGTGCAATGAAAACAGGCTTGGGAGATCAAGGGAAATATGGTCTTGCTACCAGCATTCAAATTCAGTCAGATGCAGATTATTTGTCAGGTTAACATATCACAAAAAATCCCCACCTTTTATCACAGATTAGTTGTTTTTCTGCGTTTGTTATACGCTTTTAAGAGGATTTGTAAACTCGGGGTTACCTTTGCATTACTGCCATGAAAACACCCTTCTGTCAATATGAGCTTGTGTTTGTTGAGATCTTTGTGAAGGTGTGACAGTTCTTGGGGGTTTTTTTCTATTCTTGGTGAGTGAGCAAGTAGAGTTTTATAGTTGTAGATGTATATGTGGATGACTTGCTGTTGAGTACAGATGTTGAATGAAGGGAAACCTCTGGAGGGAAAGAGTGCCTTTTATTTAGTGGATATCAATCTATTCAGAAAGGAGTCATCAGAGAGCCTTGAGATCTTTGGCTGCCAGTTGGAAGTAACATCATGAACCCTGTTCTGGTGGAAAAACATAAAATTAACATACAGCTCTGGTGTAATGTAATTTCTATCCACAAATCTTGA